TTACTATTAAGTGTGGTGTAGAATCACTTGCAAACAGACAGTTAACAATATGTTAAAATGGCAATAAGGGGCTTTTAATTAAGCTTTGCCCCCTCCCAATTCTCCTTGTTACCCAGTTTTTGTAGGTGAAAATTTAGCATAGCCATCCTCCAGTTTCTTATGACTTGTTAGGTGATAAGTAACTAATACCATAAACAAACAAACAAACAAACAAACAAACAAATAGCTTAAGAATTTTTTTTAAAAAATTCAGAATGAAATTAATGGGGCAAGTATTTAAATCTGCCTGGAATGTGTCTTGTGTTAATATGAATGTTTCATCTAATTATAGAGTTGGGAGGGACCCTCAGGGTCATCTAGTCCAACCCCCTGCAATGCATCTAAAGAATCCATGACAGATGACCAGCCAACCTCCGCTAAAAACCCTCCAAGGAAGGAGAGTCCACCACCTTCCGGGGGAGTTCATTCCACTGTTGAACAGCTCTTACTGTCAGAAAGTCATTCCTGGTGTTTAGCTGGAATCTCCTTTCTAATAACTTGAATTTATTGGTTCAGGTCCTGCAGGTGACAGCCCTTTAGACATCAGAAGATGCTATCATATCTTCTCTCAGACTCCTCTTATCCAGGCTAATCATACTGAACTCCCTCAACCAATCCTCATAGGACTTGGTTTCCAGACCCTTGTTCATCTTGATTGTACTCCTCTGCACGCGTGCCGACTTTTCAATATCCTCCTTAAATTGTGGTGCCCAGAACTGGACACAGTACTCCAGGTGTAGTCTGACCAAGGCAAAATAGAGCAGTACTACTACTTTCCTTGATCAGTACACAATACTTCTACTGATGCAGCCTAAAATAGCATTACAGTGGTACCTCAGGTTACATACGCTTCAGGTTACATACACTTCAGGTTACAGACTCCGCTAACCCAGAAACAGTGCTTCAGGTTAAGAACTTTGCTTCAGAATGAGAACAGAAATCGTGCTCCGGTGGCGTGGCGGCAGCAGGAGGCCCCATTAGCTAAAGTGGTGCTTCAGGTTATGAACAGTTTCAGGTTAAGTACGGACCTCCGGAACGAATTAAGTACTTAACCTGAGGTACCACTGTAGCTTTTTTTGCTGCTGCATCACACCATTGACTCATGTTAAGCTTGTGGTCTAAGAGCACTAGATCCTTTTCCAATGTACTACTGGCAAGCCAGGTGTCTCCCATCTTATATTTGTGCAGCAGAGTATTCCTGCATAAGTGCAGAATCTTCCAATTGTCCCTATTGAAATTCATTTTGTTTGTTTGGCCCACTTCTCCAATCTGTTATGATTTTGTTGAATCCCAATTCTGTCTTCTGTGGCATTAGTTACCCAAGAGGACATGATCACTTCCTCTCAAGGTTCCCAGTACTTCCACTTTGTCCATCAGTTCCTCCCTGTTGGTGAGGACCAGGTCCAAGACAGATGATCCCCTGTTGCTTCCTCCACCTTCTGGGAAATGAATTTGTCAATGAGGCAATGGAAGAATTTGTTGGACCAATCTGGAGTTTTCAAATTGTTTTGCTACTAGCATTATTTATCACTTAATTTGCTATATGTGTTTCCATAAGTGATATCTGAACTTGTCTGTCCAGTGTGTTTGATTTCAGAAATGTGTTAGCAACACAGATTGTGAAAAATTCCGTAGGTGTTAAAAAGGAAGAGCTGTTCCTGATTGCATTTCATGCCTATAGTCATTTCAAAGCTATGAAAAATGCACTTCAAAAGCACCTGCTTTTTTCTCTGCAAACCCACCAAATCTTATGCTGTCTGATCTTATGCTGTCATTATTTATTATGACATGAGAACAAAGACCCTTTTTGCGCTAGGGAAGTAGAATCTATCGTTGTTCCTTCATGTTGTTATTTTCTGAACTTGAATGTTTTCTATCGAAGCTTTGAACTGAACTCCTTACAATTATCTTCACTCAATTATTACAAATATTAGGGGTTCAGTGGCATCATACCATCCCAGACACATTTATAGCTATACAGAAACCCTATAAAATCTGAATTAACTAAGGAATTTTAAAAATATTGCTTCAGGCAAATTTTTCTGAATCTATATTATAGCTAGCAAGATGGTTGGCAGCTCAATGCTTTTGGTATTAACAATGAACTTAACCACAATATTGATCTACAAAAAGGATATGCCTTAGATGACGCATAATGCTTAATTAGCAAGATGTTTGACTATTTGGGTTCATTCTATGGCCAAAATAAAAATAAAATTGTCTATGGACAAAATAAAAATGCCTTTTTCAGATGCTAAATCTGTGGATAGCAAACATGAGCAGCAACAGTCTCAACCTCTTTCATACATACAGTGGTACCTCAGGTTACAGACACTTCAGGTTACAGACTCCGCTAACCCAGAAATAGTACCTCAGGTTAAGAACTTTGCTTCAGGATGAGAACAGAAATCGCATGACGGCGGCGTGGCAGCAGCGGGAGACCCCATTAGCTAAAGTGGTACCTCAGGTTAAGAACAGTCACCGGTTAAAAACGGACCTCCAGAATGAATTAAGTTCTTAACCCAAGGTACCACTGTATTCATTTCATTGTCCTGAAATGTGCATACATGTGTAGGCATCTCTGCACAATACAAAAGCTTTAAGTAGCCTGACCCTAGCCATCTAGGGCTTTGTAGGTTATAACCAGCAGGAATGGACTGATAGCCAGTGGAGCTGTTGTAACAAGGAGTTTCTGTTCTCCTTGTATTGCTGTTGTGAATGGCCACTGTGCTCAATTTACATACATTTAAGCTTTGATTGGAATTTCATAGTCTGTAGTATTTTCAATGTCATTTGACTCTACCTATAGCTGTGTTGTCACCAATTTATTACTGATGTAAATAGTCACTTCACTGTAATTAGTTTACATGCATTTAAACTTTAATTGATTTTCAGTCTGTTCTTTTTCCATTTCATTGCTACTTGACACTAATTTTTACCATTTAGACTACTACAACAATCTAATATAGAACAATAACAGGTACCACAGTAAAAATGGCTGAATCTTAAGGACCACTGAAGCATATGCTCACAGGGCTTGCATGCTGCTAAACTTACAGCAACTTGCAGTAAAAGCCACTTTAAATTCCATCCACAGACTAAAATACCCTATTTGATATACTGTCATGATAGTTTACAACAGAAAGCAATCCCTATAGCATCCTGGGAAGACCTTGTGGTTCTAAAAGAAGAATGTGACCAGAAAAGTTGTTGGGTCAAGCCACCCAATGTTGGAAATGCCAAGTTACTACAGAAAAAGAAATTTAATTCTGGCATGAGGGCAGCATCTTGCTGTGGGCAAAACTCCACACTTCCCTCTGACAAGATATATTTCAGTAAATGTCTTGGCATTCAAGCAATATCTGTGCAGGAAACGTTTGACTACTTTTCCTTATCTCAGACTAGACTCTACATTTGCTGAGTCCTTATATGCTCACGAGCAGTTGGCAGCAGAACTGGCGTCTGCTAGAAGTTATTACCCAGATTACAGCTATAAATAAATATGTCATAACCAGATGGTATGATGGAAAGAAATTATTTTACAGCCATGTTTAATTTCATTTGTGGTGTATGAAATTCACATTTAATGCCACACTTAAAAAAATATTTTATCGCTTTTTCCTCCAGTGCTGTATCATTAGCACTTCATGAATACAACATTACAAGGAACAACAGAAATGTTTAATGCTGGCTTCAGAGGATTTGGGGCCTTTGAAGCTACTGTCAGGCATCTCTCCCTCCTCCTCAAAAGCCCCCTCTTACCTAAAGTATGTCTTACCCCATAATCTGAAAATATAATTAAAATGATGATACACTTCTTTTCAGCTGAAGCTCTTTAACATTAAGAAAATCCAAAGTGGATCTTATACTAAGGCTGTACCCTAGGGGAAGTGGCAGTCCCCAAAGAGGATCATTCTGTATGGGCCACCATCTGACTAAGGAGTCAAACCACTGTGCATCTGGTCTGCTGCAAGGATGCATTTATTTCATGTCTGTTACTTCACAGGCCAGCTTCCATCATTTCCCAAGTTACTGTCTACAATGAGCACAGTCCTTCTGTAGGCCCCTCTCACTTGGGGTACCTGGCTGTTGGCTGCTGCATGCTTAGAAGTCTAGGACTCCTGTATCTTCCTGTGGAGGAAGGGGCTGGGCATGTCTGGAATCCAGCTATTCTCTCTTTGGTGCCACCCAATGGAACCTAGAGAAAGAACCTGAAGATGGCCTCTGGTGGGGGAGTAAGGGTGAAGCCACCCTTCTTGGTCCAGCTTTCCCCATTGTTTGGACATACAGCACAGGAGGGAGGTTGACTTTATACCCAGCTGCAGGGCCAGTCTGATCATTAGGCAATGGGGAATAACCACCACAGGAAGAGATGTTGGGAAATGGGATAGCAGCAACAGCACCCTTCAGCCATTCCTCTTCGAGCCCTTCTGCCATTTCTCATGAACCCCCATCACACAGACCATCTGTTCCCCTGAGCTGCTGCCCCAGCTGCTGGTGGTGATGCCTGCTTGCTGCCAGATGACTGCCCCACCTAGTCATCTTTTCCCAATATGCCACAGGCAGCAACAGTATGAAGGGCCTCTGACCAAGTTATTACACACCTCAAGTTATTAAGCCATTCTGGGCAGCTGTTTCTTCCCAGAAGCATCGGCTTTGCTACCATCTGAAACAGGATACTCAATGGAACACTTGGTCTGAGCCAGCAAGGCTCTTATGTTCTTACATACTCCCTCAAATAAGATGAATGAAGCCTGCAAACCATGGGCTGGATTGTGCTGAATCGAAATATCTGTTATACATTTGTTAATTTTACACTATGTTGAGTGGCGAAATGTCATCAGCTGCTAATACTTTTATCCTGTTAATATGGCAGCTACAAACAATGGTAACAGGAAGAAATTGCAAAAGAACGTTGTGTTCCTCATTTTAAAAACTTTATTATTTCTCTTTCTTTTTTTGAAGGTCCAAATAGAACTGAAATTTTCTCATGCCCTTTTATGCAAGGTTGAAAATCTCCCACAGACCGACAGACTTTCAAAAGCATTAGTTACAGTATTCATAACCTACTGTCTGTTAAATGCTGCCTTACTTTCTAGAAAATATGTAAATGTAATGTTCTGCTCTCAATTTCTGAAAACCCAAGTAGAATCATAGAATCATAGAATCATAGAATTGAAGAGTTGGAAGGGACCCCGAGGATCATCTAGTCCAACCCCCTGCAATGCAGGAATATGCAGCTGTCCCATACGGGGATCAAACCTGCGACCTTGACATTATCAGCACCATACTCTATGCAATTGATTTAAGGGCATTTTCATACAGGCAGAGAGAACAAGAGAGACCAAGCAGATACGTATTGTAACGGATACAGACTACTTGGGTTCATGGCGCTCTGTAGCTGATCACCAGCTGACCCTGCTACTGAGAAAATTTCAATTAGAGAGAGGTGACCCATTTGGAACTGACATGTTCATATCCCATACATGTGGTGATTGTCACTACTTTATAAACCTGATCAAAAAGAAAGAGGTTATGGATGCTTGTAAAAACACCTGAAGTTGTACGCATATTGCTGAGAGTACGAAAGCTACTCTATTTTTACTGTTTTCTACTACATGTATTTCACATAATTCGGACGCCTTCACATTCCTGGTAATAGTAATGATTAAGAGCAAATTTGCCCTCAAAACCTGCTTTTCATTTAAGCTAGAGATGAAAGAAATCATTGCCCCAAAAAAGTAGAATTAATTTCTCACACAGAAATAGTTCAACTATTAACTTGCATGACTTTTAACTTGGGTGACTTTTGTGCTAGTTGTTTTAGTGGAATCAGCTGAGAGTTTTCTGAAAATAGCAACTTTAGGTCTTTGGGAAATATGCAACTTTTCTAAAACTCTAGTTTTGAAATGACAACTGTGAGCTGTTAATTTTCTTCAAAGCATAGTCATAAGACCTGTAATGAAGGGCTAATCTTCTGCATGGCTATAATTAAAATGAATTTGTTTGGACTTCCAGGTTTTGAGAGAATCCTGCATATAACATAGCCAGCAACTTCTAATTTATAATACCTGTGTACAAGAAACATTTGTACAAATGTCATTTGAAACGCTAAACATTAAAATGCATATTACAGCATACTTCTTCTCAAGAGATACAAGCAAGCCTGCAAAGGCTTAGCTGAACTTACTGAACTGGAACGCGTACAATACTTTAACAAAATAAAATGTCCACATAGAAAACTAATAACAAGGAACATTTTAAAAGCAATCTTTTTTAAAAAAAATCTTGCTGTAGGGCAATGTACAAAGAATAGCTCTTCAGAAAACTGGACGTTTTTTATTTCCTTTATTTATTTATTTTATCCTGTGTTGCCGTGTATAAGGAACCCTCAATATGTAGTAGAGCTGCAACAACAAAGCAACAGTAGCTAAAACAACTCAGGATAAAGCCAACATTTTATATAGAAATACAATAAACAACTTAAATAGAGAACAAGAGTCAGTCCTTCCAAAGGCAGAAACAACATGGCCCTTTAAGAAATGTTCCAGCCAATGCACTTAAAAGCCTGTATAATAATTTCCCAGAGTATGTAGAAAATCAAAATAGCAGCTATACCCATCTGGCCAAAGCTGTTCAGAGTGCTGCTGTTTCTCTTCCTGCCATTTATCACTGTCACCAAATATACCACCCTCAGAGATGAAGCTGGTTCTGGCAGACCCTCCAAGAGTCCCTATTTTACAAGGCCAGTCTTGGATTTACAGAAGCCATCCCGGTTTCTGATTTGATCCCAGAATGTCCCACTTTTCCTTAGGACTGGAGAAATGTTAGAGAGTGTGGTTGGACGCCCCTATTGTTGGACGGTAAGCTCTGATGACACCACAGTACTAAAGAGGAAGCAATTCCCAGTGTGCCATCACAGAAGCCATCTCCCAGATTGGGGAGGTCTTGGTGCAAAATGCTCTCAGTGGGCCTCCTTGACTTGGAAAAAAGCCTGGTTCAAACTATGAGTTCTCTCTGCCTCTGACCTTTTAATGTGCTCAGTGCAAAGTGAGAATATCAGCATTGCTGGGGCCAAGAGTGGCCAGTGGAGCCTTGTTGTGGAGAAGTGATGTTGCCACTTGTACTAGAGTTCTGCAGTTGCTGAAGTTGCGGGAGGCTGAGCACACCTCTGAGAGTACTGGATAGGCTTCATTGGGGCATGCACACTGCCTGCACCATCCTAGTAAGTGGCATTGACACTACTGTAGTAGGCCACCTCCACAGCACCAGGTGCTCCTGGTTGTGGCCATAGATTCTTTTTCAAATGCCTGTTTTCATCACCATCTGGAGCCAGCCTTGAATGTCTTCCACAGGAAACACATAAGCTCAGATTTAGCTGATGCTTCTGGTCATGGAAGGAAAGGATATGATTTGCACTGACTCTCCTCCACTGCAAGACACTGTGCCAACTTCCTTTCTGTTTCAGAGGATATTCCAATAACCCACAGCACATTTTCAAGTGGCACAGAGGTCTGCAAGGAAAATTAGTGGAAATGGTCTGGCACCCCTTCCATGAGCAGGTGTCTTCACTGAATCCAAACACCTTCTGCAAATGGATTCAGTTCATAAAGTGTGAATTGCTTATATGTGCTTTATGCAAATTGCATGTCTTTCCACCTCTGCACAATGCTTCGTAACCATGAGTCACTGGGGCTCCATTATAGGTACAAAATGGATTTTAAAGATGTCTGCATGCCATACAGTTGCTGCCAAAACCACCAGGGTACCCACAGCAAAAATGTTTGTTACACAAAGTGTGGAAGTGCTGTAAATACCTAAGGATGATTATGATGTCAGAAAGTGAAACGGACAGTGTGAAAATCCAGTAACCAGATTGTTTGACCTAATGTAGAAATCTGAACACAAGCTCGGACAGTCTGTTTCCATGTTTATTCCTGTGAAGTTCCGACATATGTTTCACTGAACAATGCCATCAAAGCAGCAGTGCTGCAGTTAAGAGCAAGTACACAACAACATTCTAAAACAGCATTTCTAATTATTGTAATTGCTGCTGCCTTTGGCTTTTTCTTTTCTGCAGCAAAATTCTGATTCTGATACAGGCTGACATGAGCTAAGCCTATATATTTTTAGACATTTGTTTATTTTATGTTCACTCACTGCTAACAGGGAACACTGACTTCTCAAAAAACATGGAACACAAAGAAAAATGTTTAACTTATCTTGAAAGAGACTGCAAACTGACATGCATCATCACAACAGGCTTTTGAAAGTTATTGTATTGTAAAAGGAAAACGTCTCCATCAATTCTGCAAAATAAAGCAAACTCCTCTCTTCAGCATGTTAATATCTGATCACCCTGGTAAGCATATAGGGCCTAGCTATAGGTGAATGACAGATCACCCATTTAGAACTTACACCCTCTACCAGTGAAACCCAAAAAATGTAGTTCTATGAGGAAGACATAACATTCTCAATACCCAGACCAAAACTCTTCAGATCTCTGGCAGGAAAGCTACCACTAAGACAAAGTGAAATCAACATTTTCCTCATAACATGACAATAATTTTAAAATTTGTTGCTTGTGGGGTTTTCCTAATGCATAATATAAATACTCATTATAAAGGTTAGATAATATATTTTCTCCCAAAGAAAACACTAAATAGAATGAGAAAACTTTTCCTTCCTCAGAAAATAGCGACCTAGAAATAAACTTGGAAGCATATTACCCATTTTGTTTCAGAAATAGTCTAGTCTAGTGGGAGAAAGAAATAGAACTATTTTGAAGCATGTGGTCTTTTAAGTGGGAAAAGATAACACACTGGCACTTGAGCAAAGTACTGCTGGGGTGTAGGAGAGATACATCTAGTTACTCACAGTGGGAGAGTTGTGAATGCAGCACCTCAGGCAAAGGACAGAACATTTTTAGTGGATCAAACTTTTTGAAATGTTCCCTCAACATCAAGGAAGGGACTTTGAAATAAATGAATGCACAAATCTGTAGCCTTATCTCAACCACAAAGCTGATTTATGCATGTATGTGTGGATACATTCCTTTTTAAAAAAATGACTAATAGCTCTGTTGCTCACATGTCTGGTAGATGGTATGTAAATGTTGTATTATCAAGTCAGTTTGAGGGCAGCCTCCTACTGGTCACAAAATGCTAAAATCCTACATCACTGATGATAAGTTAATTCAAGTCACAGCTTGTAAAAATAAATTTGTTTGCTGTTTTTTGCTTTTCAATTTTTTAAAAGATTATTGAATAAAACATTAAGTATGCATGATTACAGACCTTTCCATTATTGGATATTAAAATATAGGTATGCCTTCAATAAATAGATATGTCTTGAATACAACCAAGAGTGACAACTTACTGAAAGGTTTGCTATATTTTACACCTGATGATATTTTATGTGACGAATGAAGGAAAAGCATAAAAGTAAATCAGTTCATTTCAGAAATACCCTGATGGACAGAATCTCTCTATTAGAAGTTAATTTTTATTAGTGTAAATAGAAACTCAAATATGGAAACAAAGACTAATAAACATTTAAAAAATATATCTAGTATGTCTTTCATTCAGTGACTTATGGGGAAGATTAAAATGTGTATTGGTAGTTTTTAAGCTTGCATTTCCATGTTGACTACTTAAAAGACTCCTGAAACCATTTAATGTTGTGCTATTCATCTTGAAGTCTACAATAAATGCAGCCATAATTATAACTTTCCTTAGAAGCCATTAACGTTGCTCTCTTGAGCTCTGAAAAGATTAGGCTTGCATTAAAAATAACTCCTCATTTCGCTTTTATATATAAGCATTTTTATTACAAAGGCATTTAGCTAATTCTCATAACTGAACTAGATATATTGCAGTTTCCTTTTATGCTGCAGCAACATATTTTTTATTATTATCCTGGTACTGTTAAGTGGCAGCTAATTACACTGCCCCAATCCTTTGCATATCATAAATCACTCATCTTTTTGACAGCTTCAGATAATCTATTTAATCTTCATACAACTAGTAATATGTACCTTGGCTTAAAAATCACACACAGTTGCTAGGTTTTGAGAGAAAAGATTTTGAAGCTAAATTTGCTATCAAATAAAGTGTTGCCTTGAAGCATGAAGAAGTATGGCAGCTTAACCAGTGTTATTCCGAAACCCTCTTTCGGAATAAAAAGTTCCACACTTCTAGCACCGCCATTTGTTTTCTGTACTCACAGATGCCACAAGATTATTTGTCAATATAAACCAATGCAAGCAAAGAAAGAAGGCTGGACAAAGTGTTTTTAATGGAAGGGCCCAGTCCCCGATACACTTCTGAAAAAGCAAGCTTTGCAAAAGCAAGCAAATCAGAGTTTGATTCGTCACTGCTTCACAAATAAAGTGGCCCATAATGTTTGACTCCGTACATGCAGATATTACAGCAATCCATTCAGTTTTCCAACCAAATGCACTGTTCGCAACAATATAATGCTCACATTTGTTAAGCTCAACAGGAAATCTATTCTTGCCAAGGTAACGGATGGGCTTTCTAATGTAACCTTCTATTCTGTACAGTACAAATTACTTTCTAAAGGCAACATGAGCAGAAGGGAGTCAATTAAAAAAAAAATCAAAGATCTTTTTATAGTTGAGATAATGACCTAGAGTCTTTCCTCAAGTACTTGGTGATAATCAGCTCAATGTTCAGATAGTCTCAAAATCATACATAAATTTACTTTAAAACAGAATAGTGAATTGAAATAAGGTGATTGGATTTTCTCTATAAAAGGTGAGAAGCTTGGCTTAAATCCAAGTAAAAGTCAATAGGTCTGTTTAGTTGTGACTAATTTATGACCTGCTAATGTCAATGAAGTGGGACGCGGGTGGCGCTGTGGGTAAAACCTCAGTGCCTAGGACTTGCTGATCGTATGGTCGGCGGTTCGAATCCCCGCGGCGGGGTGAGCTCCTGTCTCTCGGTCCCAGCTCCTGCCCACCTAGCAGTTCGAAAGCACCCCTAAGTGCAAGTAGATAAATAGGTACTGCTTTATAGCGGGAAGGTAAACAGCGTTTCCGTGTGCTGCGCTGGTGCTGGCTCGCCAGAGCAGCTTCGTCACGCTGACCACGTGACCTGGAAGTGTCTGCGGACAGCGCTGGCTCCCGGCCTCTTAAGTGAGATGAGTGCACAACCCTAGAGTCGGACACGACTGGCCCGTACGGGCAGGGGTACCTTTACCTTACCTAATGTCAATGAAACCTTTGTGTGACAAGGACTGCAGTCCTAACCCCACCAGTCTGCACTTCTGGAGGGGTTTAGCATCCAATAGATGTCCCTGTTTACTCGCAGGAAGCTTCTGCCACTGTGAAAGTCCTCACTGCAGCTGCAGAAAGCACACCAGGCAACACTACTAGTAGCAATGTTACCACCTAAGGTTGTCTGCAGAGGCACACAAAATGACGTACTTTGGGTTGGAGAAGATCTGGGCCTGCCAAAGAACCACCAGATCTAAATCCGTCCTGCTACTGAAAGACAGTCTAATCTGGGACTCTCTCATGCACCAGTTGCTCCCCAATCAACAGGCAGAGATACACTTTATGCACCAGCCTGGAGATGGCACATATCAAAGAATTGAAGGGAGAGGAGAGAAGAGGGGGAAGGTAAAACTCCATCGTGCTTTAGCTAGCTCCAGCTAACAATTGTTTTAGCTATGCAAGATAGCTTTGCGGGCAGGCAGTGGGTTTCCTGTCTGGCCTCCTACAGAGCTGAGGCTGAAGAGGCTCAGCTCGGCAGGCCGGTAGTGGTTTTCCTGTCTGACTTCTCACCTCAGCTGTGCAAAAATGCAAACATTTATAACGCGAAGCAAATAATATTTGCAAAGACCTGCAAAAGGGAGGGGGGGGCTTAGCTAGCCTAATAAGGTAATAAAGTGTATCTCTGCCTGTTGATTGGGGAGCAACTGGGGGCCAAGCTTGCAGCTTCAGTATAAGAATGCTTGGAAGACAATAGGGGCGCAGCCAGTCTTTGGAAGCTATTCCACTGGCTGTCCCTCTGCGCAGATTTTGCAATAAACCTTTTCCTCTGTGAAACCCACCCTGGTGTGTGCTTGACTCCTTCATGCTAACGGCAAGGGCACGAGGTGACTGGATCCGGACCCCTTAGGTTCAGATATCCTAACAGAATAATAAGGGTGGATGTAGACATTCATTTTACCCTTTTCTGTTCCTGTACATGTGGCAAAATTCCTCTTACTTCTTGGCAAGGCAACACAGACAAAATGTTTACCAAGTGGTAATGTGTCATTAGATGTTGTTTGCATGTAATAGGGTTGCAAATAAAGTATTCAAAGTCTAACTTCTGGATATATAGATTTTAAAAATAGCCTTCACTTTAAAAGTCCAGAACACTTTGCCATATGCCATAAGCAATTACCACATGAGTCAAATAACAAGTTAGAAACCACAAACTGCTAAGCAGCAAATTAACACAGTAACTCTGGTTATCTGTCCAGCCTTTGATTTGATTTTATGAACAGATCAAAAAGGGACAAGAAACAATTATTTTCAACAGATGTTGCCGGCACAAGTTCCACCACCAGACCTATAATAAATAATAATAATAATAATAATTTTTATTATTTATTTATACCCTGCCCTCCCCGACCAAGGGCTCAGGGCGGCTAACACCAAATATAAATACAGTAAAAAAATTAAAAACAAAACAAAACAAACAGTTGATTAAAATATAAGTTAGAATACAGTTTAAAATGCAGCTTAAAATGCAGCTTTGTTTCCGTGGTAGCCTATAGATCAAAGCCATAAGGGGAGAAAACGTCAAATATTCATTGGGACCAACTATCCATGCTGGTCCTACATGGGCCGAGGGAAAATTTATATACAAAATCCTATATAAGGGGTTCCATCAAAATATAAATAAATGGGGGGCTTAGACTGAGTCCAGTCCAAAGGCCAGGCAGAACAGCTCCATCTTGCAGGCCCTGCGGAAAGATGTTAAATCCCGCAGGGCCCTAGTCTCTTGTCACAGAGCGTTCCACCAGGCCAGAGCCAGAGCTGAAAAGACCCTGGCCCTGGTTGAGGCCAATCTAACCTCCTTGGAGCTCGGGGCTTCCAAACTGTTGTTATTTATGGACCTTAAGGTCCTCCACGGGGCATACCAGGAGAGACGGTCCCATAGGTATGCCACCCTAAGCACATTAACTAGGTCCCATGTTCACTCCACAGCATCTAGGTAGGATTGGGAAAGACTTCTGTCTAAAACCCTGGGAGCCACTGTCGGAACTAGATAACCAACATGATATGAGACAGCTTCTCATGTTCCATGTAGATGTTATTCCACTAATGGGAACCTGCTGTAGTCTCTCTTTTTAGTGAGAGTACTGCCATAAAAGAACAAAAGCCACATGAAAGGTCAGCAGAAATAAAGAAAATAAAAAGGCTGAAGGTGTATATAAATTTATTATATAGTAAAGTAATCTGAAAGTATTTTGAACCCATACTGTGTTCTTCATTAGGGTAAGAATATGCTGTATTGTTTCATAATTCTCTGGTGGAACTAGTGATTGCACAGATTCAAGATACATTATAGAATCATAAAATTGCAGAGTTGGAACGCCTCTGCGGTCTCTTGATGTGGATATAACATAAATCTGTAATGATCCTGAAAACAAATCAGTTTAAGCTATCAAACACTTTTTAAAAAGATAAACAATGTACAGGCCAATCCTGTACAAGCAAATCCTATTGAGTTCAATGGAACCTACTCACATAAGTGGGCATAGAATTTCTCCCCTGCCATATATCTGCAATTATTATTTTTCATTTCTACAAAAAAAAATCATATATGTGAAAATTGCAGTCACTCTACTTTCACTGTGACCAGTAAAGACATTTCTCCGCTTCATTCATCACTATGCATTTTCAAAGTAAAATAATTGCTTTTCTAAAAATAAACTTTTTTCCCTAAGCCTGTCAGTAGTGAAGCACAGCAGGGAAGCCAACTTAATATCAGCACTTAGTTAAGCAGTTTAAATGCTGTTAACAGTAGGATACATCTGATACTATTGAACACTAGATTCTTGTGCTTCTGAGGCTGGCAACAAGCAGTAAAAGATCCAGATTTTGAGCCATATGACAAACTGGGAATGGCGGTGGGAAGCAATCATTCAACAGTCTTAGTTTGGATTACATATTATCTGACACTGGCAGAAGGCCTAGCAAAAACTCTAGTACTCAAGCCAAGTGTGGTACATAATCAGGCGAAAAGACTGAGTGCACTAAACTGGTTAATGAAAAGACAAAACAAAACAAAAACCCCAGTCCCTTCAGGGAATACTGTTTCATATTCTTTATGAAAGTGAAAGAGAAGAGAGCTCAAATAAAAGTACTTAAATATAGTACTGAAGAAGATATCTGCCTACAGGCTAAACTATATTTCATATTAGAAAGACCTTAACAATAATGTCTTCTGAATTTTATATAATGAAAAGAAAGAGGGGCGCCAAAGTGCTGGGAAGGATTCTAAAATTCAATATTTATCTTTTCTATATACATTTTTTCAACATATAGAAAGCGCTTTTTGGTTCTGGTCTAATTTATTCTTACAACAACAACATGTCCACAGCATCTTAATTCTCAGAATTATATCCTCTGAACACAATGGGTTCATTTAGTTTTAATGGCTAACCATGCTCAGAAATGAGGCCCACTCATGTCAATGGGACCAACCTCCAGGTTTGTGTTTAGGATTACATTTTATATCTTCCATGAAGTTAAATCTGTCCACCCACTTGAATTGGTCTAACCCTTTAAAAGATCAAAACTCATGGCCAACACCACATTTTGTGACAGTGGATTCCATAAATTGTGCTTTGTGTGAAGAAGTACTGTATTTTTCATCCCATAGGACGCTCCGTCCCATAGGACGCACCTAGTTTTTTTTGGGGGGGGGAATAAAGGGAATTTTTTTCCTTTATTTCCCCCCCAAAACCAGGTCGGGGAACAGCGGGATGGCGGCGCTACACCTCCCCGCTGTCCCCCGAGCTTGTGGGGCTGGCCGATGTCTGCCCGAAGCGCAGGGCGCTCTGCTTCAGGACCCCTCTCGCTCTCCAGGCTTCAGGAAGCTATCAGCAAGCCTGGGGAGCCCGCGGGAACTCCCGCAGGGCTCCCCACACTGCGGATGTCTGCCCGGCGCGAGGGGGGCTCTGCTTCAGGGCGTGCCGGGCGGCAGGCTGCTATCCGCAGCCTGGGGAGCCCTGCGGAAACTCCTGCGGGCTCCCCAGGCTTGCTGATAGCTTCCTGAAGCCTGGAGAGCGAGAGGGGTCGGTGCGCCCATAGGACGCACACAGATTTCCCCTTCATTTTTGGAGGGGGAAAAGTGCATCCTATAGGGCAAAAAATACGGTACTTTCTTTCGTCTGGGTCTTACACAACTTCCTCAATTACAACCCTTAGTTAAAATATTGTAATTCTTTTTGGCAGGCTCATTCCATACCCTGCAAGTGTCGCCCAAAAATGGGACATCACATTTTTTCTCGTGAGAGAATGGTGGCCATTTTGGGCACCATGATCTTGCACCATGATACACACACACACACACACACACACAAAAAGAGCACCATTTCCACAACCACAATCTTGGAAACCCAACATACATGTTTTGGGGTTCCATGCTGGAAAAGGTCCTCTTTTCAGTGGAAAATTACAACACGAAATCATGGCTCCCAAAATGGCCACCATGTTCTCACAGGCAAAAACAGGAAGATGACGTCAAGGAAGCTTGTGTCCCAGATTTTGCTGCCATAGAGTTGGAGGATATATCATTCAATAGCCAGTACAGACATACCTTGGAGATATTGCAGGTTCAGGTCCAGACCACCACAATAAAGTGAATATCGCAATAAAGCAAGTCACACAATTTTTTGGGTTTCCCAGTGCAAATAAGACTTATGTTTACACTATACTGTAGTCTATTAAGCCAGACCCCTGTGGCTGCAGGGGGGGTGATCCTGCTCCAGCCCTAGCCAGCTCCACTCCCATGGCCAGAAAAGGGTAGTGGTTGTGGGGGCTTCCTTCCCCTGGAAGCAGCTGGGCTGCCTGCAGCTGTACCTGCATCCTCGTAAGGAGCAATATCTGTGAAATACAATCTTTTAAAGTGCAATAAAATGACCTTCAGATGTGTCAAGAGCCTCACATACATTATCTCAATAATTCCTGCAATAGTAAAATAGGGCAGTATTATTAACCCATATGGCAGATTGGGGACGGGGGGTAAGGCAAGATCACACATGTGAATGAAAAATGATGGCTATTGTAAGTCTGCCAGGTAAATTTCTGATTTTCAGGTGATGAACTGAGTATTTGAACTGGGTTTAAGGTGACATAGAACTTTTCATCAACAATATAGAAGCAAAATTGTATGCATAGATGACTCTAGGTCCATCTATTCGTATGATCTTAAATCATACCCTATATATAATCCATAG